GAAATTAGATAGAGTGATGCCTCCAGCTTCTTGCTCAGCATTTCTTTAGCTATCTAGAGTCTTTGTGCTTCCACATCAATTTTAGGGTAGGTTTTTTTAATTCTGTGAAAAATGTCAGTGGTATTTTGATGGGGATTACATTGAATCTGTAGATCACGTTTGGTAGTTTAACAGTATTAATTCTTCTAATATAAGCACATGGGAGGTCTTTCCACTTTGTCTTCTTCAATTTCTTTCTTCTGTGTTTTGTAATTGTCATTGTAGGGGTCTTTCATTTCCTTAGTTAATTTAAGTTTATTCCTAGGGTTAGGGCATGTCTATTTTGAATGGGATCACTTTCATGATTTGTTTCTCAGCACATTCATGATTAGTATATAGAAAATCTACCAATTTTTGTATTTTGATTTTTATATCCTACTACTTTACTGAATTTGTTTATCTGTTCTAATTGTTTTTTGGGGGAGTCTTTAGATTTTCCTATGTATAGAATCATGTCATCTGAAACAGGAATAATTTGAGTTTCTACTTTTCCTATTTGTATTTTTCTTTTATTTGTTTTTCTTGCCTAATCACTGTGGCTAAAATTTCTATGATTTGTGTGTTTTGAGCCCTTCTTGCATCCTGGGAATGAAACCAATTTGATCATGGTATGTGATATGTTTGATGTGCTGTTACTTGATTTGCTAGTATTTTGTTGAGGAATTTTGCATTTATGTTCAGCAGGGATATTGGTCTATAGTTTTGTTGTATTCTTATCAGGATTTGGCAACTAGATAATGCTGGCTTCAGGAGTAGTTTGGAAGACTTTCCTCCCTTTCAGTTCTATGGAATAGTTTGAGAAGCAGCAGTATTATTCTTTAAAAGTTTGGTAAAATTTCAGCAATGAAGCCATGCTGTCCTGGGATTTTGGTTGTTTCTGTGAAACTTTCAATATATAAATCAATCATATTGCTTTCTTACTATTGGTCTATTCAGGTTTCTTAATATTCTTTTGATTCTATTTTAGTAGAGTATTTGTCCAGAAATGTATCCATTTCTTATAAATTTTCCAATATTTTAGTATGTAGTTTTTCAAATTAATCCCTAATGATCCTTTGTATTTTTGTGGTATATCTCATTTTTATTTCTAATTTCATTAATTTGGGTCTGCTGTCATTCTCCTCTTTGTCTCACACACACGTTCGGTTAGTCTAGCTAAAGGCTTATCAGTTTTGTTTATCTTTTCAAAGAACCTATTCTTTGTTTCATTGACCTTTTGCACTTTAAAAATTCTATTTCATTTATTTCTGCTCTGATCTTTATTATTTTTCTTTCCACTAATTTTGGGTTTTTTTAAGTTTTTGAGATGCATTATTAACTTTTTATCTGATTTTTTTTTTTTTTGATGTAGACACTCTTTACCTCTTTGTACTGCTTTTGCTGCATTCCACAGGCTTTGCTTAGGCTGTGCACCAGAGGGCAAGGCAACAGCCTATACTTTGGCATTGCTCAAAGCTGCCCCAGCCCGCCTCCCCACTAGCAGCAACCCCACAACACACCCCTGTGGGTTAGAGGGCAGTGGAGTCACACAGTTCTTTCCCTGACCTGTTAGTGACAGGTGCCCTAGGTAGACCTGCAGAGGGGTGATGAGGGTGACTGCCTTCGTTCTTGCACCTACATGAATTCCCACAGGACTGGTCATGCCCTTGTTCTTGGAGGGCAGGCTTCTTGACCCCTTCCCCCTACCCCAAGTTGTTGAGACTGGCACCCTCTGTTCCCCTCAATGTCACAACACCCATCCCTACAGTGCAGCAGGCTTAAATCAGTCACTCTACTGAGTGAAGTTTGGTTCAGGAGGTAGCTATCTACAGCACCAGTGCAGTGAAGTGGGGTGCCACTGTGGGGTACCAGAGATGGGAAAATGAAGGGGATTCTGACCCCTAATGCAGTCCAAATTCAGACAAAAGTTCCCCTTTTATGATGGCTGCTGGCTATAGCACCTTGGGGGTTTGTTCCCTGGGAGATGATGTGAGATGCTTTTCCAAAGCAAGGTTACTGTGCAGACTTCACAGTTACTTACCTAGTTAAGATGGAAGCCCTGTAAGGGGTATGAAACTTTCTACTAGCTGGGGTTGCCAGTATTCAGGCTGATAGAATGTGCCAGGACCTCTCATCCTTACCCTGCAGAGGGGAGACTCCTCCCACCCCCAGCTGTAGAACCAGAGTGGCAGGTGCCGGAATAGTTTCTCTTACTATGCTGTCCCAGCTCTATGGTTCTTGTAAGGTTCCATTTTTTTTTCTCCTACACCTGTTGCTTTGGGTCTTCTTTGGGAAGAATCAAGTGAATGCTGGAAGCCATCTTGCTGCCTTCCTGGTAAAAACAAAAAGTTTTTACCAGGTTTTTGTAAAAACAAAAACAAAAACAAAAAGTTTTGTTTTTGTTCTGGTTTGTTTTGAGATAGGGTCTCACTATATGGCCCATGTTGGCCTCAAACTTTCAGGCCTTCTGCCTCAGCCTTCTGCATGCTGATATTACAGATCTATGCTACACACTTAGCTTTATGGCCTATTTATCCTTGCTTTGGAGACTTGTTAATGAATGTACAGATATTTTCTCCCTGTTCTTCCCTGCAAGATTGGTTCTGGGTTTAGAGGAATAGGTGACCTCATGGCAAGCAAAGAGAAGTGTGATCCCTGACATCCTTCTGGGTCTTCCTGTGGCTCCCTTTATACCACTGACTGGTTGTTCTGACCCTTCAGCACCTCACACTGATATGTGCTGAAGTGATCAGCGTGCAGTGAGGCTCTGGGGTCTTAAATTGCTAACTCAGCCTTTCTAGGCGATGGATGCCCGTTGGTATCCATTTTAGCTCTAACTGGGCTAACATCAAGGGTTGGCAGCATTGCATCCCTTTCCTGTCTATCCCAGCTTTAAGAGGCCTCCTGCATTCTGGCACATGGTCCCTTCTTTCATCATTAAGACTAGCAGTTCATCTTCCACTCTCTCTCCAGCTCCTTCTGGTGTAATACCTTCTTCTCTGACTGACCATCTGGAATTATCCAGATAACGTAGGACAGTCTCCTCATCTCAAGACAAGCCCCTTTTGCCACGTGACAGTTCACTCACTTTAGTGACTAGGCTGTGGACATTTGGTGACAAGAGTGCCATTATTCTACATAACATAATGCACATGTGCTATTTACATAGTGACTTGTGGCATAGGAACTACCAGCAAAGTTCGAACTTCATGCAGTTCCTCACAGTTAATTGGTAATTGAAATTTGAATTGTTATAGGGGGATGTATGTTATTCAGGTAAACTATGGTAACTGGAATTTGTGCCTATCTGAATCATGAAAAGTGAGAACTGCCTGTTTTAAGTCCAGCAGGTAAGTTAAAAAGGATGAGAAAATGCATGTGGCTACACATGCAGGTCCAGGGCTGCAGAAAATGAGGTACAGGTGACTTGTTCACCTTCCTACATGAAGAACACTCATGTAAACAGACTGAATTTTCTTTTGCGCTAGATGTTAACTCACTAGGAAAAAGCATTACAGCTTTTCTCAAGAAACATGGTACAGATGGGCAAAGAAAAAACTCAAGCCAGGCATGGTGGTACATACCTGTAATCTCAGCACTTGGGAGGCTGCGACTGAGAACTGCAAATTCTCCCCTCCAAGTATAACCAGGCCCAACCCTGCTTAGCTTCTGAGATCAGAGGAAATTGGGTGCATTCAGGATGGATGGTGGTAGATGAGAACTACAAGGTTGAGGCCACTATGGGCCACATAGCGAGACCCTGTCTCAAACACCCTTAAGAAATGATATACTTTCCCTCATACCTCTGCCCACTCCTCCTGCCTCCCCCAAAAAGAAGCGACCATGTCTGAGTCTCTTGTGCACTAATGTCCAGCTACTGATTATGTATCACACTTTACCTAAGAAACAGATGTTTTTTCTTTATAATGATTAATAATAAAATATAAAAGGGCTTTTCTGATAATTAATTAAGCATATAATAAATACTTCCTATGTATTTAAACATTGTTGAAGAAGCCATGGAAAAAGTAAATAAGGGACACTGATTTCCTATACACTTAGATTAAATAAATATTAAAAAAACTGAAGCATTGAAATAAGTTTCTCATAAATTCATTTTATTTCCAATAGCAAAAATGGTCAGTTCTATATTGAATTACAAAGTTCAGTCTTCTCAGCCCAAGTATTCTCTCTACATCACAAACACAGAGGAACTAAGGGCTAATAAAGGGGCATTTTCCCTGTTGGGCAGTGTCTTGTTCAACTATGCTAAACATCTGATCTTTCAGAACAGGACACCTCTTGAAGAGGTATAGTTCATTTTACAATAAGAGTATTCCAGATATTTTCATTGTATAAATTGAGGAAGTAAAAAGGAAAAGAAATACTTCATGAAAATTCATTCCTAGACTCCAGCCATACAGTCTTACTACTTTATAGAGTTTATAATTTATCATCCAATACTATTTAAAAATACTCCAGGAGTTTTAACACTGGAGGAAAAAGATCACATTACACACAATGACTAACCCTGGTGGCGTACATGAAACTCAGTCCTTATCCGTCCGCCTCTTGCTCCTGCTGGTCTCTATTATGGGTGCTTGAGTCCTGGACCAGAAGGAAAATGCCTGAGGAACAGCTCCATTTCCTTCATGTTCAGTCCAGACAGATGAGGACCTGAAGTGCTAAGTGCAAATTTCAAGCATGCATTCCAAACCCATTAAAAGGTTTGATAAATTATGAAAGGCAAACTCACAGTTACTCTTAAGCTTGGTTACAAGGCCTCCCTCTCCCCAAAATCTTTTTTGACACTACTGGGACTAGACCCTGACACAGTCTGAAACTCTCACTACAGAATTGTTGCCCTACGTGCATCAAGACTTGGGAGTTGGTCTTCATGAAGCAGGTGAAAGGGCAATCTCTGTTCTTTTCAGGTGAGTCTACATGCACCAGGCTCCCCTGGGGAATTAGTGGACTGCTACTTATACATCAAAGTCCTTCAGTTCTCCCCAGCTGGCTCCTATTTTCACTTTCACAGAAAGTTTCACAGAAAGTTTTATGGCACTTTCCATTTCATTCTTGACAATCTGAGCTACCTGCCAAAAAAAAAAAAAAGAAGGAGGTTAACGAACTCTGCACAAAGTATTTTTCCCACTGAGAAGGTGATAAACCTGACTGGAGCTCTTCATCTAATGGTGCTTAAAACACAACCAGAAGAGAGCCAGGCATCTCAAACTGCCCTTCACTCCTGAGCAGGGGTACTGCCCACTTGTGCTAGAATGTTCAATCCTTGGAAAGCCTCAGAGCAAGATTCCAAATTCTTTCTAGTTTCTTTAGACAAAAACATCCCTACATCAGGAATTTCCTTACTTTAAGAATAAATGTGAACCTGTGCACTCTTGGCTCCTGTTCCTGTAAGAACTCAATGTTTATATATACACCCTGCACTAGGGTAGAATCCAAAAACCTCATACATAGGTAAAACAGGGAAAAGGTTGTCATCCTGACCATTGGTGTCTCAGCTTCCTACAGAATGGATCACACCCAGAAAAATACCTGAACAACATCCTCTTCTGCCACTTCATATAAAAGCTCATCATGGAGTTGAAGGATGAAGAAGCCTCCTCTGGTTGGGCAGAACATCCCTTGCAGTCTTCTTTTGGGCAATAATTCTATCCCATGAAAAAGAATAAAACTGAACAGCATGTCCCTTGAGCCACAGAAGAAAAGGTTTCTAAGATTTTGAGAAACTATAGGAAAGTTTAGTTAAGATATCAGAAAACATATGCCCTAGAACTATCAGGAAAATAACTACCAGCTGACAGCTACCTGGCCTGTCCATCAGGTAAACCCAGATTCCCAACAACTTCCTCCCAGAAAGGACTCCAACAAGGAAGTCAGCAGATAGGATGGGAAGAGTTCTTTTCCAAACTAGTCTGATTTCTCAGAAACAGCTAACACTTTCTTTTTCCATGATCCCTACCACCACAGGAGTATGGCACCAGGTGGTCTGGGGCCCAATTCCTGTTCCAGGAAAGGGAGCTTGTTGTTGGAGCATTCATAAGGGGCCATCTGATGTCGGCTAATGGTTACAAGGGTCACTAAGGTAGAACTGGTGCTTCCACAATTGGACCACACACCAGACAAGTAACTCTAAACCTACAGTCCACATGTGTCATCTCAGAGTGTGTATGAATCCCTGATGTCTATATATTTTTATGTGGTGATGTCTATATCCTTCAGTGGCTTGTCAAAAGAACCCACGACTCAAAAAATAGTGATGAGCCAATGTACTGGACCTAGCTACATCTACCTAACTAACTGAGCCTAGTGGTACTGACTATGCCCCTCTGATCACCAAGCTAAGGTTTAACATGAATACTCTTACAGTAACTGCCTTTACTGTTTACTCACACCTCATAGCGATCCTTCATGTCTGTCATCCAAATTTCCTACCCAGCCTTCAGGCCTGACACAAGTACTACCTCCTGTACATCTGTTGCTTCCCTCGGAGAGTCATTGTCTGCAGCCCACCTTTGCTCAGGTGGCTCTCAGCAGGTAAGACAATGAAGGTAGCTAAGCCCATGGCAGTTGTGAAGCTGTTCCTCTGATTACCAATCTGGCTAAGATCTGATCAGCCCCACTGGACTCCACTTATCACACACCATTGACTGTCTGGATGCTCTAGCTTTGCTCCTTTCTGATCACCATGCCTTTATCCACTCAATTTGCCCTGTATCTGGCTTCTGACCCAGAATGCCAAAATCCTCTTGTTCCCTGTGTGCTCTGCTTTCTTGGGCTCACCTTGCTTTGATTTCAGTGACCTATGACTTCCTTTAAGCCAGCCTAACACCATGAAGTCATCATCAGTGACATTTCCATATAGGCTGACTCATTTCACATCACTCTGCTGTGAGGAGTTAACAAATATTTCAGTCAAGTATTGCATATTCCTTCTTCTTTTTAGAAGATTTTAAATTTAAACATAGATTGATCTTTTAATTCTAACCTCCCATCTTTATGTAACTGGCTACATTCCCTGTAACCTACACATGTGTTTCTTCTAGAAGTAGCAAATTCCATCCTCAACTGCTGATCTCTATCTTTTCTGCCCATTTTCAGCAGCTTATTCTTCCTCTGAATACCCCCAAACTTAAGTTCCTCCAAAAAAAAAAATTAAAAACATGATTGTATAACGTGACAGTGAAATGATAGAGAAGTATGGATATGTAACAGAAGAGAACAAAATTAAAGTTTTGTGTACTTGTTAGAAGAAAAATGTATCCAAGCAATAAACAGAGAACTTAGAGAAAATATTTTGAAAATAAGAACAAGAAAAGATAGCAATATCAGCAAAGGACTGTATGTGATAAGGATCAACTCAGAGTACATTCATACTTCAGAGAATATAAATAGGAAAACCATAAATTTTTAAAGTGTGGTCTGAAGACATAGAGGATCCATGAATATGCAAAGTCAAAATTACTTTCATCATAGCACAAACCTTGTAAGGTTTGCCTTGTTCAGTCCCCTTCTCCCATCAGTGTGTACAGCAAAGAGACCAACCATCTTAGGCTAAGACTAAAATTCCTACATCCTGAGAAACACATCAGGCACCCGAAAACTGGGATGTGCACCACCCTAGACTTCACAAAGGGTTTTCCAAGGTCACAGGACATGTTCTATTGCAACAGATTGAATGCAGAATCAGAGGAGGGAATCTAGCCTCTTCTCCTAGGCCAGACATTAGAGACTCACAGAAATGTAAAAGAGTCACCATTAATTTTCTTTTGTTCTGAAAAGATTTTCATAAAAAAATGTTATTTATGTTAAAATATAGTCAGTGTAATGTTGTTATTAAATGTTAATGTTTGAAAATTCCCTGTTTTAATTTTCAGTATGGTAAATATAGTATATATAACCCATATAAACAAAAATTCTTTGTGATCTCTAAGAATTCCTAAGAATATAAAGACATTATGAGACCAAAACATTTGAGAAATAAAATACAAAATGCTTTCCGCCCCCCACCCCCTTTTTTTTCTGGTACAATGATTTTTTACCATGTTTAGAGCAGGGGCCTCAGTGATGGACAAACCTGTTCTGTCATTTCGGAGCATACCCTCCCAATGACCGTGGGACTTGAAGGTTGAGTGGAAGGTCTCTAATTGCTTCTGAATGTTAACTGTGGCTACCTTGACTATATCTGCTGCTGATCCTTGGACTGTTGTGTTGATGGCCTGACGTTCAGCCTATGAAAGACAACAGGTGCTCCATCAAATCAGCCAACAAGGTTTCACACTTGCCCTCGGTGTCCACACATTACCGTTCATACTTGCGGTCAGAATGGATATCTGGACTGAGATGTGACATAGGACATCAACTCTTAGGCTGCATCCTAAAAATAACGACCATAATGATCCACAGCTCTACATTCTGAGCTATCCTTGTAAGGATAGATGAAGCAGAAGGTCAGATTGCTTCAGTTTAGAAATTTTCAACACTCAGTTAGAACCCCAAAATTGTATTGCACTTAGAATATATTCAGTAATTCAAAATTACGTTACTTTGTAAACACGCCATCAGTGTTTTACCTCTTCTGAACTTCACTCTACAGGATTTATTCCTCATCAATTCTTAATTCTGAATAGATATAAGTAGCTGCAATGTACCCCCACCAAGCACAACAACAACAACAACAACAAAAAGATATAAGTGGCTCGTTCTCTGTAAGGTAGTTTGGACTGTCCTAAGCACATCTCCCATACCAATGGCCACCTGGTCCTATGTAGAGTTTGGCCCCAGGAGGTGTGGAGCCCTCTGATATAAATCAGATCTTTTCATGGGCAGCTGAGGCCAATCATAAGTTACAGAAAAATGCAGATCCTGGATCTGCATATTAAGTTAGAAGTTTACTGAAAACAACTCTTAATTATAAATAGATACAAATAAGTCATTCTGCTAGGAGCTTCTGAGCAGGCAATCATGGCTACTAAAACTAATCACTATGGAACAGTAGAGGAGGTGGCCTGATTTAATATCCAGGTGTAGCCTATCCATGAATATCACACCTGGCACCCCAAAATGTCTCAACAATGGGAAGGGTCTATTCAAGGAAGATGGTCACCTGGGCTATACCCAATACCTACTATATTAGATATCTATTAAAGAGATAGACTTTGTTTTGTAATTAACTGTTGTTTGTCAAATGCTGATGAAACCATTGCAAACTCACTCAGTTGTCAGTTTAAACAATGATCAAATTTCATAGTAATACTACTCTTTTTCCTTGAAACTATGTACCATTATGTAGTAGATTGCATCATCATCACTGTTCCCTTGATGCCTTTCTCTGTCACATTACACAGACCCACCTATGGCCATGGTATTGGAGGTGATGTCCCCTGTTAAAAGATGGCCTTGGTTTCTTCTGGCTAATGAAATGTGAATAAGACTGACATACAGCACAGACATATGGACTGACATAAACGAGTTATAAGAGCTATTTACGACTGCCACAAAAAGAGGTGTATTCCAGGCAGAGAATTCACTCCAGAATGAAGAAAATATGGAACAAATCCAGTCAAGCTGAAGGCAAACTATAACATGAGAAATAGTTCCATACTAAAAGCCCCTGAAACTTGGGACTCGATTTTACTGTAACACAAGCACAAGTACAATTACTGTATGCTTTACTCTCATATTGTACTTCTGAGTCTCTTCTATGTTAGTTTTTTTCACCAAACATAAATATATGTCCACCAAGAACTTTGGACAAGTTCAAGTCAGCAAGATCCACAATAGTTTCAAACTGGAAACTCCAATGTCCACCAAGAGAAAAATGGGCAAACTGGTACTCTCACATACAAGAGAGTATCATACAGCTGGCTGACAAGAAAAATACCAATGACTGACTTAACATAATTTTGAATAAAAAGCCAGACACAAACAAATACACATATACAATGTATATAAGAGCTAGAAAACATACAATACAAAAGTATAGTGTTAGAAATGTTGCTGGAGGTGAGGTGGTGGTTAGGAGTCTATGCTAGGGAAGCTTGGATACTGATGATACTCTCTTGACCAGGACAACAGTTTACAAGTTGTAGCTCTGTGATAATTTACTGAAATTTCTGTTTGTTTTCTCTGCTTTCTCAATGTGTGGTTCTTTACACAGCAAAAGTTTAAGAAAAAAAGTAAAACCAAACCAAACCAATCTCCAAAATAGTCTAGCTATGTTTACTCTATTCCTTATTCAAAGGGCTGGAATATTTTTCTTCTTCTCAGACTCAACATAATAAGGTAGTTAGAACTAAATTAGTTGACCCCTCCAAGCATTTTGGCATAAAAAGTCTTTTTCTCACATCCTTACTTATATACAGTACTGTATATAATACTATACAAGTATTAGTTTTCACAAACTTCAGTGATTTATTTATATTAATAACTCTATACTCCATTTTTATCATGCAAATTTTAAGAAACATAATCAATCCCTGCTAGATAAGTCCAAATTTCTCAGACTTCCATTAATAGCTTTCCAGCTCTTAAGAGAACCTTCTAAGTCTTCTAGTTAGCTCCATCTCACCACTAGAAAACTATTTGCCCCTAAGTGACAACTCAACTCTCCATTTCTACCTGCCTGGCTTCTAGTCAGTCCTTACTCAGTTATCCACTCGGAATTGTCTTTTTTTTTTCATTCCCAACGACCTAAACTTTTAATAGGGCTCATAAATCTGTTGAAGTCCAACCTCTTCCCTAAAGCTGAAATAACTGAAAACATAAAGTCTACTTTTATAGATTTTTGCTTGCTTTATTTCTTCCAAGACTTAACACTTGTATTTCCTAGTGCATCAACTAGAATGCTCAGTTTACTTAGACATATCATAAAAGCCTGGTAAACATATGGGAGGCTGGACAATGAAGAAGAAACAAATGCCAGCTGTTCTTCTAAGGCCTCAAAAAGCAGTAAGTGCTCTGAATGATTTGAGTGTCAGACAGAAGTTGTACAGGGGACAATGATGTGCAAAATCATGAGAAGGGCAAAACACAATGGGTTAAAATACAAAGATATGGACTGTAACAGGAACTTAAATATGCAAATACACATAATACTTCTATGGATTGTAATTTTTTCAAAAACAATTTTATCCATAATTTGAACAAATATTAATATATTTTTAAATGATGTTAAAAACAACTTTGCTTAGTATTTTGGGAATCCTTATAACCTTTAAGAAGGAAGCACTTTGCTTTTGTAGATTTTTTTCCTTCAGTACTGGAGATTGAAGTAAGCACTTTTAAAATAGGCAAATAAGAGAGATTCCAAGATGGCGGCTAGAGGGAGGAAGCAGAAAGCATGCCTCCTAAAGTAAAATCTTGGAGAGACACTGGAGATATACCTAACAGGAAAAACTACCAAGAAGAGGCAAAACTGACTTCTCCATGCCTCCAGCCTGCACATACTATCTCCACTTCACGTTAAACAGAGAAACCAGGAGGGTCTCCTGGCTGCCGCCAGACACCCGTGGCCAGACGGCTTGGAAAGATGCGGACCACAAGGTGAGCTAAGTGGTATGCGGTACTCCTAGACAACCCTGGGCAGATCAGCATAGCTCCCTGGACAGACCAACCCCCACCCCAGGGAAAAAAGAAAAAGAAAAACTGAAAAATAAGCAATAACAAAAAAAAATAAGACACATATCAAAGAGGGTGGGGTGCCCTGAGCACCGAAAAGGGAGGGAGGGGAATCCCTCACGGAACTGTAAATAAAAAAGTGGGCTGGAGAAGGCAGGAGCGGTGGCACACGCCCAGCAACCAGAAGTGGAAAAGCTCGTAAAAGCAGCGGTGGGAGGAAAAATCCACAGGAGAAGGGGGAAGGCCCACTTCCCACGTGAACTGTAAATAAACATACCGCCTGAGAAAGCAGGTGCAGTGTCACCTCCCCCAGTGTGCTTGGAAACAGGAAAGCTTGTAGCAGCTGATCGTGCACAGGAGAACTCTGAGTAAACAAAGCCTGAGGGGCCAGGTGAGTGCTAAGCTCACCCCAGAGATCTGCATAAATAACACCTCCAGCAACAGCAGGCTGACAGCAGCCAGCAGGCAATCCACAGCCTCAGATGGCCATTCACAGAACTGTCTCCAGATTCTTTTTTTTTCCTCTCTCCCTACCTTTGATGAGACAACAATCGAACTACACCTGCACGCTGAAAAACTTACTGAAACTGTATTGCATTTGAACTTGGGACACTTTGTGGGTTTTTTGTTGTTGTTTTGTGCAGTTTTGTTTTATTCTGGTTTTTCCAGTCTTTTTCCCCTTTGATGAGACAACCACAAAACTACTTCTGAGGCACCATCTCCAGGATAGGAGGCTCAGGGACAAACACTAAAATTATTAAGACAGAAACTTTATTGCATTTGAACTTGGAGATTTTTTTTTAAATATATATATATATATTTCATTTATTTATTATTATTTTTTTTATTTATTTATTTTCTTTTCAATCCTGTCTCTCGAATGCCTGTTCAGCTTACAGTTGATTAGTACACTATCTCTCCCTGTTTATACCTTTGAAATTTTTTTGTTTGTTTCTTTGATTTGTTTTTTCTACTTGTTTATTTGTTTTTCCCTTTTCCTTTAACTTCTTTGCTTTCCATCTCCTATCACCCTTCCATTCTAAATATCACCAGTGCTATTATTACAAGCTAGAAAATAATTGCACACAGTACAGGGACAATAACAACACCAAAGGCAATGACAGGAAGACAGAAAAAACAGGGAAACCAGTTTCCCCACAGCAAAAACTTAGTACAGGAACCAGAGAGAAATGAAGAAAACAGATACTCAGATCCAGACTCCAACAAAATGAAGATAAACTATGCCAAAGAACCCAATGAAACCCACAAGAATAATCTAAAAGAAGAAATATAAACAGGTAATCAATGAGAATTTTATAGAGATGATTCTGGATACGATCAACCAAAATGTACAGGAGACACTCAAGAAATTCCAAGACAACAAAAATAGAGAATTTGAAAAAGCAAAAGAAGAAATAAAGGAAACCACAGAAGCACTGTATAAACACCAAAGTGAAACAAAGAACACAATTAATAAAGTCATAAATGAACTCAGGACAAAAATAAACATTAAAGAGGAAACGACCCAGGATATGTAAAACCTCAGAAAAAAGAACGAAACAGAATTGCAAAACAAAATGGAAGGCCAATCCACCAGAATAGAACAAACAGA